TCTCGGTAGCCATTGACCCACTCGTGCAGCGCCACGTAGCCCATGAACGACCACGTGTCATCACCCAGCAGCGGCTGGCGCAAGACAGTTTCAGTCCCCCCCGGGGTCCGTGCAAACTGGATGATCTCGACGTTGAGATGCTGGATGGCATCAGCAGCAGCTTGGACTGTTGGCGTCAGTAGGCCAGAGAGCGTAGCGTTCGTCAGCAGCTTATTGGCAATGACTGAGGTTTGGGTCGCGAGTGAGCTGCACACACCAGCCGAGGCAGCACTGCAAGGCGAGCAGCTGCTAAGATCGGGTTGCTGCAGCAGTCTCATAGCTGTAGCTGCAAACACCGCCGGCAAAGGCTCCACAAGGAAGCGGCTCGGCACTTGACTGCCGCACGTATCGTCAAAGGTAAAGGACGGCTGCACAAAGGCTGCACCAGAGCCAAACGGGCAGAGCGGACTGCCGCCAAAGAAGGTGTAGCTGGATCTCTGCCATGAGAGCGGCACGGGATCCAGCAGTGGTGCTGGCAACGCCGCGTAGAGGTTTAAGAGCGGTCGGTCGGTTTGAAGTGCTTCGACCAGCGCGGCTTCCATGGCCACGTACGCATTGACGAGCTGCGCAGGTGGCGCCACCATCATCAAATCAACGTTGAGAAAGGGCCCGAGCGTGTTGTGGATGATGACGCTTGCGGGCGTGAACGGGTAGAGGTTGAGGAGCCTCTCCATCGACGCGTCACCCATAAAGTTGCTGGCTCTGCGCACAAGGCTGGCGTTGGTGACGGCCGAGCCCCAGAGGTCGTCGAAAAATGCCCAGTTGAGCGTAAACGTTGTCCACTTGGAGCTTCGGGCGGCGTAAGCGACCGACTGAATCGTCAGATCTTGTTGCCATCCGAGCATGTTGACGACCGAGATCGACTCTTGCACGCCAAACTGATTGTCGTTGCTCCACTGCAGCCGAAAGTGCGAAATCTGGTGCGATTTCCAGTACGCTGCTTCTTCAGCCAGAGACTGATACGCGTTCTGGAGACTCTTGTACCAGTCACGACCTTCCGACGTAATCGTAATCGCGTCGGCGACCGCAGCGTCGACACTGGCACCGTAGATCGGATACCACACGTCCCAGTTGACGTTGCGAAGGTACGGCTCGAGGTACACGGCGCCATTCTCGGTCATTACAGCGCCGCATCGCGCTTGACGTGCCGCCGTATGAGCGACCTCCCAGCGCTTCTCAAAGTCGGCCCAGCAGTACAACGTCATCAAGTTGAAGACGTAGCCGGGATCGAGCGACTGAAAGCCAATGATCGCATCGGCCACCGACGTGTACTCGACCAGTGTTCGCATCCGAGGGTACGTGGGTTTCGCAAACGCAGTTGTCGACGGAAGCCCGTACGTCTTGAGAATGGCCTCGCTGGGGTCAAAGAGGTCAATCTCCGAGGC